CTGGCACTGAGTGCACTGAACCTGGCAGAATGTGCAGGGGACACTGTGTCCATGGCCACCCTGGCTGAGATCTATGTGGCTGCCGCGCTAAGGGTCAAGACCAGTCTCCCGCGGGCCTTACATTTCCTGATAGTGAGTCGGTGGTGGGCTGGTGGGGGCAGGGCTAGGGACTTGTCTTTGCAGCTCTGACCAGCAGCTCCCTGGGGAAGGGGCTGCACAGGATGAGGCACTTGGTCATGGCCTGGGCTCCAGGCCTAGCTGGGGTCTCAGCCCATGGTCTGGGTTGGGGCCCCTGCCAGGGTCCAGTGTGACGGCCCATCTTCCTTTCCCTACAGCGCTTCTTCCTGAGTAGTGCCCGCCAGGCCTGCATGGCACAGAGTGGCTCAGTGCCGCTTGCCATGCAGTGGCTTTGCCACCCTGTGGGTCACCGTTTCTTCGTGGATGGGGACTGGGCCGTGTGCAGTGCCCCGAGGGAGAGCCTGTACAGCTCAGCTGGAAACCCAGGTGCTCTCTCACCCTGTGCCCATCTTCCATCCCCCTCCTTAGTCCCCCATTCCCATTTTTCATTCTCATTCTTGCCCCATCCCTTGTCCCCTAGATCTCTATAGATGCCCCTGCCCACACCTGTTTGTTACCTGGCCATCTGTTGTTGCTTTGTGGGCTGGGTCTCTCTCAACTGGGGTTCTTCAGAAGCAAACAGGGAGATAGGGATCTGGGGGCAGGTGTTGATTTGGGAAGCGATCCCAGGCAACACCACTGCAGTGAGGAGGTCAGACGGTAGGGCCAGAGCTGGTGAGGGTGTGTTATGGAACAGATTACACTGTCCGAGGTAGGTTATCCTATCCAAGGGCAGGGGCAGGGGTATTTGTCCACTAACTTTCATCTGGGCCAGAGCCAAGCCCACCCGTGTACCCAGGAAAGAACCGCTGGTGTAGAGAGGGGAATATGGAGAGTAGGGGACCTTCCCTGCCGCCCCATTGACCCATTCCTCCCCATAGTGGACCCCCTGGCCCAGGTGACTCAGCTATTCCGTGAACATCTCTTGGAACGAGCACTGAATTGTGTGGCCCAGCCCAGCCCCAGCCCTGCATCAGCTGACGGGGACAGGTGAGTGTTTCCAATACCCCCCACGAGACAAGAACCCTCCACCACAGGGTCTGGGAATGGCTGTGTCCAGGGACTTGTGGGGATGGTCAGAGCCAGGAAACTATCCACTCACTGTATGGCCTCAGGTAGATCTCAGCTCCAATCTGGGTCTCGGTTTACACCAGCCTGGCAGAAGGAGACAGTGGCACTTTGTAGAGCCAGGAAGTCAGGCCATGCTGTGGTGGGGAGGTGAGGAAGGCCAGTGCCCTCCCCAGGCTCCCAGGCTCCCAGGACCCCTGTCCCCTGTCCTAATAGCCAGTCTCTCTTGCTACAGGGAATTCTCAGATGCCCTTGGGTACCTGCAGCTGCTGAACAGCTGTTCCGATGCTGCTGGGGCTCCGTCCTGCAGCTTCTCCATCAGCTCCAGCATGACTGCCACCACTGGTGAGCCCCAGGCCCCCCGCCCTGTGACTCCCTGCTCAGCCCGAGCTCCACAGGAGCTGCAGTGTGGCAGTTTCAGGGAGCACCCCCCACCCCACCCTGTTCCCTGTAGGCACAGACCCAGTGGCCAAGTGGTGGGCCTCGCTGACAGCTGTGGTGACCCACTGGCTGCGGCGGGACGAGGAGGCAGCTGAACGACTGTACCCACTGGTGGAGCACCTGCCACTTGCCCTGCAGGAGTCCGAGTGAGTGCAGGCCAGATGCTCCTGGCCCTCAACACCATGCCCCCCACCCCGCACTTTTGTTCTGTGCAGTTGGGATCACCACCCTTTCTTCCCCATGAAGCTGGAACCAGGGCTGTGGGGAGCTCAGTGAGGGTCTGTGGCGTGGTCTGACCATCACTCCTCTGCCCTGGCCCCAACAGGAGACCCCTGCCCAGGGCAGCTCTGCACTCCTTCAAGGCTGCCCGGGCCCTGCTGGGCCGCGGGAAGGCAGAGTCTGGCCTGGCTGGTCTGACCATTTGTGAGAAGGCCAGTGAGTACCTGCAGGATAGCCTGGCCACCACACCAATTGGCAGCTCCATTGACAAGGTGAGGGGCGGGGACAGGGGCCTGGCAGGTCCACGGGGTCACAGCCTTTCCACTCCCACACCCTTCTCTGGGCTGCGAAAGACTGTGGGGTTAGCCTGACAGTCCAGTACTGGGGGCCCAGCTGGCCTTGCTTTTGGCTAAGGCTTGGGTCCAGGGGAGAGTGGTTGCCCCCATACGGCTTCAGTTTCCCCACCCCCTGGAGGAGGGGTGGGGTGAGTGGTGTGGAAGGGCCCTCCTTGGAGGCTGCTTCCGTGGCAGGTGGTGGGCGTGGGGGCCTGGAGAGGCGGGCGGCCCCGTGGTGCATTGCTGTTGCATTGCATGTGTGTGAGGCGGGTGCAGTGCCTCGGCAGTGCAGCCCGGAGCCGGCCCCTGGCACCGTGGGCCCCCCCACCCTTCCCCTCTGAGAGCTGGAGCTCCCCCCGTGACCCCTGCCCATCACCCCCAGGCCATGCAGCTGCTCCTGTGTGACTTGCTCCTTGTGGCGCGCACTAGCCTGTGGCGGAGGCAACAGCTGCCTGCACCAGCCCAGGCCTCACAGGGTGTGGGCAATGGAGCCCAGGCCTCTGCCCTTGAGCTGCGTGGTTTCCAGCGGGACCTGAGTGGTCTGAGGCGTTTGGCGCATAGCTTCCGGCCTGCCATGCGAAGGGTGAGTGTCCACAGGCCCATCACCTCAGTGGGGACATGAGGCAGCTGGTGCCAGGAGAGAGTGGGGGCCTGGCCTGAGCCCCTGCTCTCCTGGCCCCCTCTTGCTTAGGTGTTCCTACATGAGGCCACGGCCCGGCTGATGGCAGGGGCCAGCCCCACACGGACACACCAGCTGCTGGACCGCAGTCTGAGGAGGAGGGCAGGCCCCTGCAGCAAAGGAGGTGAGAGAGGCGGAGGCCCTTGTAGGGGTATGTGTGGGCGCTTTCCTAGCCTTGGTGGGAAGGGCCCAGACGGGGTGTGCTGGATGCTGAGGGCCACTGTGTAACAGAGACTGGGGACCTCGTGGTGGTTATCTACCTGAGAAATCCAATGAGGTGACTGTATTTTGTGGAATACGTGACTATGCAAGTGTGTCTCTGAGTGTGTTCCGTGCCCGGCCCTGGAAAGGGTCTGAGTCTTCGCAGGTGTTGCTAAGACTGAGGTGGGGAGGGCAAGGACAGGGCCTCTGGTGGGCTCTGCAGCCCACCGGGCGTGGCTGGGCCTTAAGCCTGGTCCCCACGTGGCCCCGCCCCCTGACACAGCACGTGTGTGCGCAGGTGCGGGGGTGGAGCTGGAGCCCCGACCCACGAGGCGGGAGCATGCCGAGGCTCTGCTGCTGGCCTCCTGCTACCTGCCACCCTGTTTCCTGTCGTCTCCGGGGCAGCGCATGGGCATGCTGGCCGAGGCAGAGCGCATGCTCGAGAAGCTAGGCGATCGCCGGCTGCTGCACGACTGCCAGCAGATGCTCATGCGCCTTGGCGGCGGGACCACTGTCACCTCCAGCTAGATCCCTGCCGGCTGCCCGGGCGCCAGCGTCCCTGTCTTGAGCTGCCTCGGTGCCCTTTGGCTGTGTCCTGGGCCGGAGCCTCGACGGCCAAAGGCAGCGCCGGAGACCCCGGTGTGCACCCATGGACTACATTGTTTCGGCCGGCGGAGGGTGGCGGGAGAATGGGAGACCCTGGAGGGCTTTTGCCTCTTGCCCTGGGAGGTCAGAAGGGGTGCGACCCCGCCGCCACTGCCTGCTCCCCATCGGGGCGAGCGGCGGCCAGTGTGGTGCTGACCTCTGGTGGCCGATCGGGGGACTGCAGGGGCCGGTCCGGTCGGTGTCACCTCTTTGCTCTAAAGGCACGCAGTGGCTTTTCCTTCTCCCGTCTAAAGGCAAGACCGGTACATGTCATTCAGCTGAGGGGGGCTGATTTGGCTTTCCCGGACAGCAAGGGGGCCCTGCTCCCAGGCGCCTCTTTCCCTTCTGGAGAGATCTGTACATAGTGTAGATCAGGGCGCGCCAGTCTCCTTGTCTCTGAGGCTTACGTGTTACTGTGCCTTTTGCAAACTTTATTTTCATAGGTTGAGTTTTGTACAGAGAATAAAAAAAATATTTATAATCTGGATTTTGTTCCTTTGGGGAGGAGGGTGTGTGCTTTGCTGATATACTTGCCAACCAGAAGGGGTCCTTTGGGCCTTCCCGCAGCACCCTGGTTGACTTCCCACATCCACCCGTCATAAGGGATTAGATTCCCCCTTCTGATGTTATGGGATGTCTGCAGGGTATGACCTTAAGCTGACCTGGATTCCACTGATGTGTGGGCCATGTTTTCGGGCCCCTAATCCTTAGGTTCATTATGGTCTCACCTGCTCCCTCACCTCCCAGCTTCTACCCTCACCAGCTAGTTCCCAGGGTGACATGGAGGACAACTCAGTGTCGTTAAGGATGTTGACAAGAGGAGCTACAGCCTGATAGCCCTGTATGTGTGGGGTGTGACTCTCACCTTTCCCACCTTGTTCCTGGTCATCTGTCTCACACCTGAGGAAGCCTACCCTCATCAGCATCTGAGGCTGCATGGGGGAGGGGGGTCGATTTTGCAGCAGGGGCTTGTTTCCTGTTCCTGCAGAAACTGCCAGAACCCCTAACTCCCCATTTGTGCCTCCTGAGCTTTCCCCTTTCTTTCTACCCCCCACCTAAAGACTGGTCCCTCTCCCAGCGGAATCTGGTCAGAATCCATGGGCTGCAGACTTCCAAAACAATTGTTGTATCTTTATTGACTTTTTTTTTCTGAATGCAATGACTGTTTTTTACTCTTAAGGAAAATAAACATCTTTTAGAAACAGCTCGATACACACAATCTTCAGTGTGAAGCAATATACTAATAAGAACACTAGTCGTCTTAACATTTACAGTCTTCATATATATTATATATATGTATATGTATACATATATATACACTATATAACGAGGCCAGATATAATACACACGTTTACCATTTTACAGTCATATGTACAGGAAGTTGCTAGGGTGCCCCCGTTTCGGGGCTGCCTCAGGCCTATCGAAGCATGGACAGAGCTGAGGACAAGGACAGACAGGAGGACATACTGGCAGGGACTGGCCTGGGCCGGTGGTGGCTTAGTGGGGAACGGGGGTGGGGGGCAATCACTGAGACCCCCTTCCCGGCAAGGACCCTGTGCTGAGGGGCGCAAGACGCACGGCGGCGACACACAGGAGAAGCGAGCATGTTCCCAACATATATACATTCTATGTAACATATAGAGGGGTACACAGGTTTGTACACGAATCTAGCGCTGTCTCTGCTCCCGTGCCGAGTGGGCGCTGCGGTCCCTGGAGACAGGTGGTCGTGCAGAGAGAGGGACGATCATGCGCCCGCCACCCACCTGAGGTGCACACTAGAGACTCATTTCCTTTTGCGCTCGCAGGCTGGGCTCCAGGGGTGGGGTGGATTGGAAAAAGGGCAAACAGAAGCCAAAGGAGTGCCCCAGTCCCACCTATACCCGGAGAGCTCATGTCCCCTGAGCATGGATCCCAGATTCCCCTGGCTCTGACCAAGCCGCACGGTTTTGGCAAATGCTGGGTGGGAAGGGCACTGGGGCGCGCGTTCTGAATGGTTTATTCCAAATCCTCCGGCCGCTCCCCTCTCCGGCCTAGCCCCCACTAGAAAGGCTTCAACTCCACCTCCCTATGCCGCCCGCCCCCCACCCCCGCCTAGTTAAGGAGCCAGGAGCCGCCCCCTGTCACCTCCAGAGCCCTTTGGACCCCCATCTCCAAGCCACCCAGCTGCATACCACGACCGACTGAGGTGGCCGCAGCACCCACGGGTAATGTGTGCCACGTCGTCTTGGAACTTCCAGTGGAGAAGCGCGTCCCCAGGCTAAATGCGCCTCCCATCCCCGCGGAACCTGTGAGCCCCAAGGCGTCTGACTGCTCCACAGGGATCCTCTTTCCCAAGCCAGGCCCGGGGTCGGGGGAGCGACGGCAGGAACGCCCTGTGTCGTCCGGTTTCGGGAGCAGGCGGCTCCGGAACATGTTTTCTTCCTAACCCGGGACCGCACGTTTCAGCTCTAGGCAGCCAGATCCAAGATCCGGGGTCCGGATCAAGGATCGGCTCTAGGCCCGCTCTGGGAGCGTCTCAAAAGGCCAGGGGGCTGCACAGGCGGCCCCTCTCTTTCGGCGGCGAGCGGGCAGGCAGGTTCCGGCGGCTTCTCCAGCCGTTGGGGTGGGTTACAATGGCAGCCTCTGAAGGAGAAGAGTACACGCCCGAATGTCCGTAATTGACAGTGGTGGACCTGTGCAAGGGGTTAATTCCTCCTCCGAGACCCGCCCGCCAAGGCCCCGCCCACACGAGGCTCCCCACCTACCCCAGCGCTACGGGAGCAGGGCTGGTCTCAGCTGGAGGCAGCTGGCCCCAGGCCAGGCTTTTCCTTTCTTCTAGCCCCCACCCTGTCCTCTGTATCCACGGTCCCGTGCCCCTACCCTGCCCTCCGTCTCCTACGTGGGATGTCCCCCTCCCTCAGGACCTGTCAGGTTTAAGTGGTCTTTATCACCAGCCGACCAGCCCAGACGCCCGCTGATTAATCGCGAATTAAGGCTCCAGCGGTGGTGGCGGCAGCAGGCAGGTGGGGGCTGGCGCTCCTGGGGGGATGAGGAGGAGGGCTCCTTCTGTCCCGGGACTGGGCCTTGCTGGGGGTCCGCAGGGCAGCAAGTGGGGAGGGGCCCCTCTCTAGCCTAGACCTCTTCCAAAGAAGGCCTGTGGTCACCTACCTTATGTTTGGGGCATTTCAAAGAAAAGTTCTCTTCGATGAATATGCAACCTGTGGACCAAAGAGAAGTTTGGGTGGTTAGGAGAGCTGCTGGTGTCTCATCAATGGGCCAGGAGGGAAGGGGGCCCTACTGCCCTTGAGGCTGCAAGGGGTTCTTTGCAAAGAGGAAGTCAGGCTCTGCTTGAGCTCCTCCACAATCCAAACTCTATTGCAGTTGCTCTGGCCCTTTGCCTCCATATGCAGTCCAGCCCTGCCGGTAGGTCCCTTCTTTTCTCTCTCCCACCTCCTCGCCTGGAGCTCCCTGTCACTGGAGAGACCTCCCCTGACTCCCTAGCTATAGCAGACCTCACTCCCCAGTCTCTCTCCCCCTCTCCCTGCTGCACTATGCCTGCCCACACTCGTCACTGCCTCCTAGGATCTATGTATGATTACTTGCCCAGGGTCTCTGCCCCACTGGAAGGCAAGCTCTGAGCACCAGCTCTGCCTTCCTCCCTGGATAAGTGGCCAGCCCCTAGAAGCCTTGACACCCAGTGAATGCATACTGATGGACTGGGCAGTGCAGTTACGGGTCTGGATTTGAGTGTCTTGGTCTCCACATCTGTAACATGGGCACTATGCCATCTCCTGTGTCCATTGTGGGGACCGATGAGGAGAGTGTATGTAAGCCACAGCCAGTGTGTGGACTTGTTCCTGTGAGGCCCAGAGTGGAGCAGGCCTGAGTGTGGGGGCGGGGGCAGGAGAAGCAAGCCCAGGTCTCTGGTCTGAGCACATGCCAGCAGGTATCCAAGTGCCCAGGGCACTGTCCACTGGGGAAGCAGAGAGGGTTGCTGAGCATGGCTAGTCCTTAACGCCCACCTCGGCACAGGGGTGCACTGATGTCTCAGGGGGTCCCTACTCCCCTGCCTGCTGCCACCTAGGGAGACCCTGGCTTTCCCCCCTGGGATTCCCACCTACTACCTCCTGGTGAGCCTGTGCTAGGCTCATTCCTCTCCCTCCCAATGCCTCACCTGCTGTTGTTCTGAACAAACACTAAACTCACAAATAGCCAGAGGCTCAAGCTGGCTAGAGATTCCTCATGTCAGCTGTGACCACAAGTGGTGTCTCTGGGCTCCAGGCAGTAACTCTGTGCTGTGGCACCATGACAGCGTGGTGGCTAGTAGGCAGGGTGGGGAGGCGGGCTCAAGTCTGTAGCCTTGAGAGCAGGCCTGGGAAGGCTCCAGGCCTCTCTGAGGCTGCCTCCCCTTTTCCCCCTAGAAGCTGGGGGACCTCAGACCTGAAGTGCATCAGCAGTTTTTCCCCTTCCCTGAGGTCAGGCAAGACAGACATGGTTCTGGGACTGAATTCACTTTCCAAAGAGCACTGGGCTAAAACCCCAGATTTGCCCCACAGCACACACACTCACACTCACATACACACCATCCTGCTACAGGTCCCAAGCCAGTTCTTAACCATCGCACGACTCGGCCGGCCCCTGCTACAGGTCCTATAGTCAAGAACTTGAGTTGCCAGAAGCAAAGGGTAGGAGATTGCCACTTCAAAGGCAGCTTGCTCAGCAATCTCCCAGAGCCCACAATGGACGTGGGAGGGAAGCCACTGGGAGGAGCCGGGTTATCAGCTCCTGACAGCTCTCTCAGTGTCTGCACCTGGGGAACCTGGGACCTAGCTGATCAGGTGGTCTTGCAGCCTGAATGTGGAAAGATTCAGACAGGAAGCCGCAGTGTGCTGGCCTCTGCAGCCCTTTGGGGTCCCTGCTTAGCTCCAATGTGGTGCTTCTTAACAGAATTAAATGGGGGGGGGGCAGGGTTATTGTGCCAGGACAGTGGGGAAGGGCAGAGGCAGGCAGGCCTGGTGCCCTGCGATCTGAGAGCCTGACCCAGACATGTGGCAAGTCCCATGAACCCCCACTTGGCAGACCCAGGGGTTAGGTAGGTGTCAGGTACTAACAAAGCTGGGACTCAATGCCTGCTCAGCTCACTCCCTCCATTCCCGCTCACTCTCCACCACTACTGCCTGACCAGAGCAGCAAGACCAGCCCTCCCTGCTGCCTGAGGCCCTGGCCTCCCTTCACCTTCCAGCTACCAGGCGCACTTATTTTCCCACTGTTTCTGGCAGCTGCTCCTCAGGTGCCCAGGGCTCCAATCCTCTTCTTCTGCCAGCTGTTAAATGGTGGTGCCCACTCCCCCCATGCAGTCCTCTCTGGGGCTCTGACGACCCTTTGGGCTGGGCAAATTTCTACCCTGAGCCCGACTGGGACAGCTCCCCTTGTACGTCTGCAGAAGTCTCAAATGCAACCTGCCCGCAGGGAAGCTGCCACGTGTGATGGACAGATTGCCAAAACAGCCCCAAGCCCTCTCCTCTACTGTCTTCAGCAGTGGGGCCCTGCAGCTCCTCCCATTCAGGGGAGGTGGCATGCATTCCCCACCCTGTGAACCTGGGCTGGACATGGAACTTGCTTTGGCCAGCAGAATGCAGTGACAGGAACTGTGTGGTCCCAAACCAAGGCCTGCTGGAGGATGAGAGCCCACATGGAGCAGAGAGGAGCTGGCCCAGCTGGGGCTTGAGGTCATCCTGCCTCGGCTGACCCAACCACCGACCACAGCCACCTGAAAGAGCTCATCGGACAATATGCCAGCTGACCTGTGCCCACATGAGAAATAATGAAGGGCTGGTGGTTAAGGAACAAAGTTGGGCCTGGGAGGGCCAGTAGCTCAGCAGCAGCAGCTATACGATGAGGTGTGATTAAACAAAATGGTGAATGTTTAAATAAAAAAACTTATTACAGTTAAAGACACATTGCCATTAATCCCCCTAAAAAAACTCCCCCTCGCTTCAAATACACTTATCCCATCATTTTTGCCACTTTCTGAAGCAGTTCTGGAAGTCCTCTTTCCTGAGTGTCTTTAGTTGCACTGTCGTGGCTGCCTCGAGGTCCTGAATCATTTTGACTTTGGGAGCGAGCCAGAAGTCAGAAGGTGCCAGTTCCGTGAATAAAGTGGAAGAGGACACATTTTAATGTTTTTATTTGACAGAAATTGTCGCACCAGAACAATGTGTGACACGGAGCATTGTTATGATGGAGGTAATTTATGGCACACTTTAAAACACACCTTCTCTCAACCGTAGCCCACACCCGACTGACTGCACCAAACAAGTTGAAACTTGTCACACACATTGTTACTAAGGTTTGCTGCGCCACTTCGTGTATTGAAGATCCCTGTCTTTGGCACACTTGGCAGCAGCTTTCACTGTATTTTGTGATCATAATAGAAAGGTTCCGTGTCACACATGGCTTCTGATGCGGCAATTTCTGCCAAATAAAAACATTACAGTGTGTCCTCATTCACCTTATTCAGCAGATCTGGCACCATGCGACTTCTGGCTCTTCCCCAAAGTCAAAATGACCATGAAAGGTAAACGTTTTGAATATTGGGTTGTCGGAAAAGTCATGACGTATTTTTTCTGTTTTTCGTTGCAGAAATGTGTCATGACTTTTCCGACAACCCAATAGATGCAGGACATCAAGGCAGCCACAACAGCGCAACTAAAGACACTCACAAAAGAGGACTTCCAGAACTGCTTCAGAAAGTGGCAAGAGCGATGGGATAAGTGTGTTCTATGTGAGGGGGAGTATTTTGAGGGGGATTAATGGCAATGTGTCTTCAATAAGATTTTTTTAGTTTAAACATTCACCATATTGTTTGCTCACACCTTGTACACTATCAGCACCAATCCTCAGACCTGCCTTTACAAGGACATCAGGCTGATTACCGCCTTTCCCTCACCCTTCACACCAAGGCCTGTGCGTTCTGTGCCAATGGAGTCTCTGGGACACAGACTCTACCTGCACCCGGCAACCCTCCTCTCCTGCCAGTGTCCACCAGCTCTTTCTCACATACAGCTCTGATCGTGTCAGTGTCTCATCTTCCCAGCCTCCAGGCCTCCTTCCTGTCACAATCCCCAGGATCTACAGAGATCCCTTTTATATTGGACTCTTTTTAAGACTTCATTTGAAACAAAAGTTCTGTTGCTCTAAGCCTGGTAGATACATCCTACCATTAACCAGCTGCTGCCCACCTCCCCTGACCTTTGCAGATCTGGCTCAAATGTTGCCTCCTCCTGGAAGTCCTCCTGGATTCCCTTCTTGTCTGGTCCCCATAACTTTGGGCAAGGATCATGGTTTTCCTGTCGGCCCCAGTCAAATGTGAGTCCCTCAAGGGACTAGAGTACTGGGGTGGGAGAGAGCATGGGATATGGAGCAAGACAGACAATGAGTCACGCCCTGGTTCTGTCCACGCTGTGCTGTGTGGCCACGGGTAAGGCAGCCTGCCTGTCATAAAGATGCACCTGGAGATACTGCAGGGGCCTGATATAGGACCTGGCGCTACATGAATCACTGTAGAAGGGATGCAACTTGTGGTAGCTATTACTGGGAGTAAGGCCATAGTCTGGATGAGTGGCAGAGTTAATGTTAAAATATGGTTCATGCTGCGCAGAGTGGGAGGGTGGAGCCAGTGAGAAGGCCAAGTCTCTATTCCCGACAGCCCCTCCCTGCAGGATGCAAGCGCCTTAGCCCTTGCCAAGGAACTGTCATCATTCTGAGTGTCCACCTGGGGGTGGCTTGGTTGAGGCTGATGCTGGCCTGAAGCCAAGAGGGGCCAGCAGAGCCCAGGGAGTGGCCTCTGCCCAGAGCAGAGCCAGCAGGCATTCAGGTGGAGAGGAGGGACAGTTGGTCCCCAGGCGGTGGGAGGGTCTTCCATTAGGCAGGGTCATGATAACTTCACCAGCTTCCAGGCCAGAGGGAGGATCAGGGGAGCTGGGATAGGGGGGACAGAAGTCACGGGGGCTGGACCCCAAATAGGACAAAGGCTGCACCTCATGGGTAGTGTTCATTATTGCACTCCATGCTCCAAACAGCTCAAGAAAGAAGAGATATTTAATCTCCATTTTTATAGATGGGGACACTGTGTGCAGCTCTCTGGACTTGCCAAGTCCACATATTAAGAAGGCCACTGGGGTCTGAATCTAGGCCCAAGCTGCCTTGAAGCCCCCCTAAAATATGGTCCTCATAATGACTAAAATTCTACCATTAACAATATCTTTCCTTGGATGAAATAAGGTATGTCTCTGAGCCTTGGTTAAAACCTTTTATAGCTATTCCCTGCAGCCAGTAGGAGATGAATTGGCCTCAGTCTGTTTTGAACCTCATCTCCTCCCATCTCATTTGGTTCTTGCTGTTGAAGTATATCCTTTCCCTTTTTCTCTCCCCAATTCAGTCTTCAGAGACCCAGCCTCAGTACCCCCTCCTCTCAGAGACCTGAAATCCTCCCCAGCCCTTGGCAATGATAGCTTTTCAAACAGCTCTCCATCTTGTAATCTGTGCCTCTGGGCATTCCTCAAGCGGGTGGTGGGGACTGATTTATCTCCATGTCCCTAGCATTGCCCAGCATAGGTCCTGGTAAAGAGAGAGATAAAGAATTGCTAGGGCTGGGGCCTGCCGAGTGGTGAGTTGGGTAAGTTAGCTTGGGACGCCAGCTCTGAGCAGCAGGGCCCGGTTCGGATCCCACATGAGGGCCAGTGATGCTGCGCCCTCTACAGCTAAGATGGTGAACAACAGCTCGACCTGGAGCTGGGCTGCCGTGAGTCGCTGGCGACAGCATAGGTTGCAGTGAAGCTGCAGTGGGATGCCGTGAGCTACCATGTGTGTCTGGCAGCTGGCGTGAGCTGCCAAGAGCCGGCGTGAGTGGCCGTCCACCGATCTGCCTCACCCATGAAGAGCGCAATGATAACACCAACATAGCCCAGTGAAGCGATGTCCTCCACAACTAGACTGAAGAACAAAAGGACAGCAACTTCTCTGTTCCCCTTCCCCAGTTTCCCAACGCTGTTCTCCTCCCCCAGTTCCCCAATAAAATCTTTTAAAAAAAAGTATTGGTAGGACTGGAGAGAAGCAGAGGGCTCAAATGGGGCTGGGTTCGAGGAGCTGGGCCCAGGGATCCCCTGAAGGGCTTTCGTGTTCCCTTGGGCTGGCTCTTACCCGAATCGCTGGCACACGGGTAATGGTAGGTGTGGACACATCCCTTATGGCAGCACCCAATGGTGGCCCCGGCTTCTTGGCAGCTGGAACAAGTCTGGTAAGGAGAGAGGGAAGACAGGTAAGTCTGCCACTGAGGGGCCAGGCAGGTGGGCTTTAGCACCCCACCACGGCCCCTGCCTCCTTCCCATGAAATGGTCCTTAAAAATCAGTTGGAGGGGCAACTAGTTAGCTCAGGTAGAGCGCAGGTTCATAACATCAAGGTTGCTGGTTTGATTCCCACAAGGGCCAAGGAGCTGCGCCCTCCACAACTAGATTGAAGACAACTACTTGACTTGGAGCTGATGGGTCCTGGAAAAACACACCGTTCCCCAATAAACTTCTTAAAAAGTTGGAAAGAGGCTCAGAATGTGGTGCAAATGCCCACCGGGTTGATTCTGTGGCAGCCCCGGGGCTGCTGCCTTGATGGAGATCCTCTTGACGGGGGGATGACTACTGATAATGTGACTTGGGTTCACACAGACCCGGGTTCAAATCCTGGCTCTGCATTGCATGACCTCAGCAGTGCCACTCAAACTCTCTGCCTCAGCTGCACAAGGGGATGGTGCCTCCCTTACCGGAGGCTCGTGACTATTACAATGAGAGATTTCGTGCATCCAGGGGATGACAAGAACTCCTGGGACCCATCACCATTATAGCCGTGGCTACGAGCCGGTGTTGGTGGTGCTTCTGTATGTACAGCATGTCCCCCCATCCACTGATTCCTCCCAATAGCCCTCAAGGTAGGTAACTTTCATGAAGTCCATTTCACAGATGGTGGAACTGAGGCTCCCACTCCAGGCGAGAGTGAAGGCAGTAAGCAGTAAGTGAAGGCAGAAAAGGTTTCCTACCCTTTCCAGCAGAACAATCACTGAGCCCAGAACCTGACGGGCCACCCAAGGACCGGCCAGCAAGGAGAAGACACAGCCAATCCTGAGATGCTGAGTGAATGTAAATCTTATGCCATCCAGCATGGTGGCCAGCCCACTCTCGGTCTCGAAAATGTGGTCTACTGAGCTTGGGGGCTGCCCCATGCCTGCCCTAGCTGCCTGGAGGGGGAAGTGGCCAGGACAGGATGACAAGGCCCTTGGAAGAGTGAAGCACAACCAGAGGCCTGAAGAGGGACAGGTTGGGCCTCAAATCACGCACTCAACCACAGCCCTCACTGTAGGGGTAGGGGCGTGAGGTGCAGGAGGGAAGTAAAGAGGGTAGCAGGCCCATGCCCAAATGCTAAGCCACTAACAACTAACAACAGCTTATGATATGCCAGGCATGCTTAAAAGCCACCTCCTCATAACCTTCTGCCGTTGGTATTATCGTTATTTTACCCAGGTTTCCAATGAGAGCTCAGCGAGGCTGAGTAACTCGCCTGAGGACAAACAGCTCCTGAGTATCCGGGTTGGGCTGAGTCTAGCAGCCCAGCTGCAGCCCAGGCTGGCAACGACTACCCCATACTGCTCAGAGCAGGGGTGGGCTCCCAGGCCCAGGACTGAGGAAGACCCCACCCCAGCAGCTGGGACAGGCCGGTGATGAGGAAGCCTTCTCCTACCTTTCCTAGGCCTCGCCTGAGGAATGCCTGGGAATGGTCCCTCTGTCACCAAGCTGAGAGTGGGGAGGTGCAGGGTGAGGGGCTGGGGTATATTCCGGAACATTAGGTTTTCACACAATGCCTCTGGGCAGGCAGTTGCCTTTCAGTCAGGGCTGAGACCCACTATGGCTCTGGAGCCCAATGTCCCCCCAGTTCCTGGCCCAAAGAGGGGAGAGGAAGGAGTAGAGGCCCTACATCAGGCCCAAGTCCCACCCATAAGTGGCCTTCAGTTATTCGGATGGTTAAAGGGTAACAGCCAGGGGGACTTCCCTGCCTGATGGCTCACTTGCACTGAGGTCCCTTCACAACCCTTGCGGCAGATGTTTTATTTTATTTATTTATTTAGCTGAGCCATCCTGCCACCTGTTGGCAGCTCAGCTTGGGCCGGACTTGAACCGCTGTTGCTCAGAGCTCAAACCTTTGAGCGAGCTCTTAACCAACTGAGCCACTCGGCCGGCCCATTCGGCAGATGTTTTAGATGTGAAGAAATGGAGGTACAGAGAGACGCCTCAGGCCCTTCTGACCCGACCTCGTGCTCTGACCAAGAGGGCATATGGCCTGTGAACCTTCCACAGGATCCCAGGCTAGTGGAGGGGCCCAAACTGGGGCCTCAGCAGATGCTACCGGCCCAGTATTGCCGCCATAGCCAAATACCCGCATCCTTAGCATTCATGGCCAGTCTCATTGGGAGAGGAGAGGGGGTCCACAGTAGTTCTGGGTGAGGGCTCAGCTCTGGGCAGACTGGGAAACTGAGGTCCCAGGAGGGGACATATATGGAAAAGGGGTGTCCCTGGGGGTCTGCAGTTCTGTTCCTCCAGAGAGCAGAAGTGAGGCTAAAGGGCCCACAGGCCTGTTGGGGTGGGGGCTGGGAACTTGGCTGCACCTGGGGAAGATCATCTGGATGGCCCCCAAATGCTGCTAATGGGGTTTGGCATTCCGAAGCTCACAGAGGTCAGTGACTTGCCTGGGGTCACAGAACCCACCCTTAGCAGAGCTGGGGTTTGACCTGAGGTCTGCATGACTCCAAGGGAGTGTGCTGCCTCAGAGCTGCTGAGGTAGGAGGGGCCTTGGTAGGGATGGACAGCTCTAGGAGGCCTGGGCTGGTGGAGGGAAGGGGGCCAAATGGTGCCTGGGAAGCCCGGGCCCTCCCCATTTCTCCAGAGTGCTCTGTGGACATGGACTGCTCTTCCAATGGCTGCTTTAACCAGCCCATCTGAGGCTCACGCTCTGGCTGCCAGCACCCCTGGGTAGGGCCCAGGATCATCTATCTGCCTGGCAGGGAGGCCTTTCAGATTGCGCCTGAGCTACCTCAAGTGAAGCAGGGAGTCGCCATTGGAGGGGTATGTGCGTCAGGGGAGGGGGGCTCGCTGAGAGCCAGGTAAGCACAGAGCCAAGGACAGAGTGTGGTAGCTTTCAGGAGCCAGGCTGTGAACAGCGGGAGAGAGGGTGGGCAGCCGGCTGGGTTTGGGGATCTGAGAATTAGTTATTTTTCGATGATGGGAGAGACTTGAGCCTCTTGAATTTCAGGGTGGCTGGGAAGGAGCTGGTGAGCGGAGAGAAAAACAGATAGTAGGAAGGAGGAAAATAATTGAGAAGGGAAGAGGGGAGAGCACCAGAGCCTGTAGGCTGCTGTCTGAAGGCTGCAGGGCTGGAGGGGGCTCAGGGAAGTGGTAGGCGTCCCGTGGGGGCGGCGTTTCCTCAGTCAGGCTGGAGGTCAGTGTGCGGGAGGTCTGGGCATGAAGAGGTGTCTAAGTGTTCCTGGGTAGTGGGAGGTCAGTTGCGGGGAATCATAGGGAAGCATGGGCAGCACCAATGGCTGCAGCCATCCAGCTGCAGTGGCCCCACAGCAGACAGTTGGATCAGGTGGGTCAGAGTGGCTGGGAGTGAAGTCGGGGGATGGTAGAAGCAAATGAGCAGGTATGCAGGCAGTGGATGGGGGACAGCCATGCGGAGGTGGGGCTGAGCAGGTGAGGGCGAGGGTCCCCATAGCTGGGGCTGGGGCAGGCTGCAGTGC